TGGGTTCAGTGAACTGACGGGGCGGGGGCCCGACCCAGCCGCGGTACAGTCTCTCCTGGACGCGCCCGCTGGCTGTGCGGGACCCACCCGAAAGTGAAAGGAAGTTTTAAGTCATGTGTCACGAGTCCAGAAAACCCCTGAAGATTTTCCCGAACATTCTGGACGCTAATAAGGAGTCTCTTTATTTGATTTTAATGCTTCGTGTGCTTTGAAGCTACGGCGGGAAAGGAGGGGAGGGGAATCGGGCCGTAAAACGATATCAAACGTATCAAATTGCGCGAAACAAGCAGCCACGATATCTCCAGGTGACGTCCTCAAGACGAACATGTAGAAACTGCCGTTTAAATACAAGGGCGCAGAGTGAAATGGAAAATTCTGTGCGGTTTAACGCTAGTCATATCCCCCTGCAGCTCACAGCCTTCAGCCCACTGAGGCTCAGCAGCTGTGAGACTGGTCAGCACCTGGAGGGGAGACTCCTGGGAAAGCTGAGGCTGCTGCTGGAAGAGGTGTTCGTGGGGCCAGTAGGGGGCGCTCACCCTGCGGTCTGTGTGGGTCCTCATGCCCCTGTATAGTGGGGACACTGTACTGTAAAAAGGTGCCGTCCTTTGGATGAGACATAAAGCCGAGGTCCTGACTCTCTGTAGTCATAAAGAGTAGGGGTGTTACCCTGGTGTCCTGGCCAGATTTCCCCCTGGTCTTTACCAGTTATGGCCTCCTAATAACCCCCTTCTCTGAACTGGCTTCATCACTCTGCTCTCCTCCCCGCTGAGAGCTGGTGTGTGTGAGCAGACTGGAGCATCAGCCAGGTGTGGAGATGCCATTACCTGTAAAGAGCTTTGAGTGGAGTGTGTCCAGAAAAGCGCTATATACAGGTAAATGTAAGGAATTATTATCAGTCTGGAAGTACAAACAAGTTTGGATTCAAGGCAATCAAGGCTGAACTTCTGTTGTGGTATCCCTGAAAGCTGCCTTTTATTTGAAACACTGCCGATTTACAGTAACTCGTTGGATTTCTAAAAATACAGGTTCAGGCAGCTGTAGGTCTTGAGTTGTTTCAGTCTCTGGGGATTTCCGTCTTTCCTGTCGTGGTGTGTACAGAGAGTAGATTCTCTCCATCGGCGGTAATGAACAGGCAGCTTGAGAAGCGTCGGACCTTTCACTCTCCGACACGGACTGGACACGATTCCTGCCAGCTTTTCCGACTCACTCGCTCTACCCGTCGGGCCGTCGGGGCTCCGGGCGAAAGCGAAAGTCTTTCTCGGCTCAGCGGTGCCCAGCGCCAGGGGAAACGCGGGAAGGGCGTCCTTTTATAGGGCGGAGTGTTGGCATTTTCCAGTTCGTCTGGATGCGTCATAGCCTGGTTAATTAAACTGATGCCCTTCTTGCACTGTACCGATTCTCTATTCAATACTCCATCGGGCCGTAGTCCTTTTTAACGTGGGACTTTTCACAGTTATGTGTTTTGGGTAAACGTGACCAACTTGTACGTTTTATCGTTGTGACGGATCATTAGTGTGGTTTATTCCACAGCTGGACACACACAGACACACACTCTCATAATCTAGTTTTAGATTATGTGTCTTGGGTAAACGCGACCAATTTGTACGTTTTATCGTTGTGACGGATCATGAGCGCGGTTTATTCCACAGCTGTCCCGGTTTGTAGTGGTGTAGAGTGGCCTGACTTTCCGTCAGTTCAATTCGCCTCACGGACGGGACACACGCTCGACCCGTGATGGCGACTAGCCTGGTGTCCCTTCCTTTTGTGTTCCTCAGTAAAACCCAGTGTGAGTAAAATGGTTCTGCTTCCATTCACTTGAAACCTTGATGCTGTATGTCAGAAAAGCGCAGTGGGGCAGTGGTTTGCATTGCTGCTTCTTTTCACTGGGGCCCTTCCAATTCCACACCTGGGGTGCTGTCTGTGTGGAGTTTGCATGTTCTCCTCAGGCATGTGTGGGTTTCCTGTGGGTGTTCCAGTGTCCTCCCACAGTCCAAAGACATGCTGGGAGGTGAATTGGCTTCTGGGAGAACTGGCCCTGGGAGTGTGTGTGTCCTGTGATGGACTGGTGTCTAGGGTGTGTGAGAGTGTGTGTCCTGTGATGGACCGGTGTCCAGGGTGTGTGAGAGTGTGTGTCCTGTGATGGACTGCTCTCCTGTCCAGGGTGTGTGAGAGTGTGTGTCTGTGTGTGTCCTGTGATGGACTGGTGTCCTGTCCAGGGTGTGTGAGAGTGTGTGTCTGTGTGTGTCCTGTGATGGACTGGTGTCCTGTCCAGGGTGTGCGAGAGTGTGTGTCTGTGTGTGTCCTGTGATGGACTGGTG